CCACCGAACGCACGCCACACGCCACAGCGGCAGTCTGGGGTGCCAATATGCATGTAACGCACGCACACGCACGACCACGCACCGCAACACACGCACGAACACACCGCGCGCACCACGGCACTCCGACCTGTCGCGCGATCTCTAACCACACGGCACACGCACGCAATGATATCATTCTTTCGCTTGAAGGCACTGGGCGGGAGTTCGGCGTTGTCGGTTAGGTATTATGTGTCGCGTACCCGTAATCGTTGCATATCAAAGGTAGGGGAGGAAAGGGGGGAAAGGAGAGGGGCGGAGATAATGCACGCATGGACAGCACAGCGATCGTATCATCCGTAGCATTGTAATTTTGGTTGGACAGCCATGCGGGACAACGCCCCGTCAGTAGCCGGTCACTCAGTCACAGCAGCGTTCTATGTCTAGTGCCGAATGGAAGGGGAAGTAGATGGAACGTGTATCGTGCGGTTTCGGCGCGAAGTCTATATATACGATCCACTCGCATCGGATGCAGCGACCGCTGCCGCCGCATTGAGGAGAAGAGAGACACGATATAACAGATTGAACCAGCAAAGCTAATTAAACAGTTACATGATATGCAAGCGGAAGAAGAGACGACCGAAGACGAGAGAGAGAGCACAGACCAGAGAGAGAGGGAGACGGAGGAGAGAGAGAGAGAGAGAGAGGCAGATACGAGGCCGAGGAGAGAGGTGGGAGAGGAGGAGGAGAGAGAGAACAGCGGAGGAGAGAGAGAGAGTCACAGATACAGAGAGACGAAGTTCTTAACACGTGGCATAATGTTACAGTAATATATGATTAATATAATAATATATATACATATATACGTAGCACAGTGTGAACATTAGGGAGCAATGTAGACGCAGGAAGAGTTGTCTGGAGAGCGATGGCAGGGCGGATATCTACTTTTGCCCGGCCTTCACACAGCACCACGCGCGTATTTATCGATGCCCAACCCCCAGCCGCGGCGTGCACTGACTATCTCGCGTAGCCGAAGCTGTTCTCCATTTTTTAAATTCGATAGTCCATCATTTTATAAAGCATTGCACTTAATGCATTAGTTCCTTCCGTTTTTGCGTCCTCACAAGTGCCGCGGCACGATCACATGGCCTCCTCTAGTTTGCCGCGCTCTTGCCGCCCTGTTTCGCGCATTCGCGAAGGTAAACGGTATGCCTGCCCACATCCTATCCTGTGCGCTCGAGGTATTTAATTGCGGACTTAACCAGCAGCGCTGCGTCTCCTCTCTCTCTCTCGGCTCGTTAGTTCACTCTCTCGCCATCTCTCTCGTCGGCTCTCTTTCTCTGGTCGTTTCGCTCAACTCAGTTCTCTCTTTCTCTCTATCTCTCCCTTCTCGCTCTGCCTCTCTCTCACTCATTCTGTTCTTTCTTCTTTTTCTCTCTCTCTCATTCAAGCTCACTCATTCCCGCTCTCTCTCGTCTCTCTCTCTCTACTACTCTCTCTCTCTCTCTTCTTCTCATCTCTCTCTCTCTCTCTCTCTCTCTCTCTCTCTTTCTCTCTCTCTCTTTTTTCTCTCTCTCTACTGCTCTCTCTCTCTCTCTTTATTTTCTCTCTCGTCTCTCTCATCTCTCTCTCTCTCTCTCTCTCTTCCTCTCTCTCGTGCTTCTTTTTCTCTTCTCTCTCTCTCTCTCTATCTCATCTCTCTCTCTCTCTCTTGCTCTCTCTCGCTCACTCATTACTCTCTCTCTCGCTCGCTGTCACTCATTCTTCTCTCTCTCTCTCTTTCTCTCGCTCACTCATTCCCGCTCTCTCTCTCTCTCTCTCCCGCTCACTCATTCTCTCTCTCTCTCGCCTCGCAGGCCGCTTTCGAGCTTGCGCATCCGCTGGAGGCGCGCAGGGCGGACTACCTGACGTCGGAACAATGTCAACTTACGTCATCTCGCCGGTTCGGGCTACAGCTGAGCATTTAAGAAAGGCCACGGTCGCGCCGACACGGAGGCGAACCTTACGAGCTGCGTTCGCGCGACCGCTGACGGACTCGACTACCCGGCCGTCCGGCCGCCACCGCCCACCTCACGTACACGGGTATTGTGCTGGGGGAGGAGGACGGAGAGGGAAGGAACGAGGTGGGGGAGAGGTGGCGAGGAGTTCGGACGAGGGGGAAACAGGAACGAGTGAGATGGGGAGAGGGGAAAGGAACGAGGGGGGAGAGGGGTGTGAGACAGGGAGGAACGACCGGTGCCGCGAGAGGACGGGATGAGGGAGAGGAACGAGGTGGGACGGGGAGCCCGAGGCACGGCGACGAAGGGCAAGAACGACGGGAGTGTAGGGAGGGGACGGATAGGGGAAGGGAACGACGGTGGGGGCAACGGCGGGAAGAGGACGGAGAGTGAGAGCAACGAGGTGGGAGAGAGGTGGAGGACGTGAGAGGGAGAGGAACAGAGGTGGGGGAGAGGGGGATGAGACCGGGAGAGGCGGAGAAGAGAAGAAGAAAGAAGGAAAGAAATCACGAGGTGGCTGTGAGAGAGGACGGGAGGGACAGGAAAGCGAGGTGGGCGAGAGAGGGGTGGATGAGACGGTGGAGGGGAGGAACGAGGTGGGGGAGGGAGGACGGAGAGGGAGGAACGAACGGGGGTAGAGGGGGCCACGAGAGGGACGGAGGGGGGAGAAGAGACGGTGGGTGAGAGGACGGAGAGGGAAGGACGATGGGTGGCGCCATTTGGAGAGAGGGGGTAGAGGACCGGAGAGCAGCGAGGAACGAAGGTGCAGATGGCGGTAGAGGACGGAGTAGGCGACAGGAACGAGTGTGCGGTGAGAGGGCGTAGAGGACGGGAAAGGGAGGAAACCGAAGTGAACCCGATCGTGAGAGGACGGAGAGGGAAGGAACGGGTGGGAGAGTGACGAAGAAGGGAGGAACGAGGGGGTCGGGGGAGAGGGGCTGAGAGGCACGGACGCAGGGGAGGGAACGAGGTGGGGAGAGGGGGAAGGACGGAGAGGGGAGAAACGAGTGTGAGTGACGGAGGACGGAGAGGGAAGGAAGGAACGAGGTGGGGGAGAAGAGGACGAAGAAGAGATGGGGGAGACGGAGAGGGGTAGGAGGAACGAAGGTGGGGAGAGGAGGAAAGAGGACGAGAGAAGGGTAGGAACGAGGGTGGGGGGCGAGAGCGACGGAGAAGGGGAAAGGAACGCCGCGTGTGAGGAGAGGGCGAGAGGACGGAGAGGGGAGGAACGAGGTGGGGGAGAGGGGGAGAGGACGGAGAGGGGAGGAACGAGGTGGGGGAGAGGACGGAGAGGGGAGGAACGAGGTGAGTGAGAGGACGGAGAGGGAAGGAACGAGGTGGGGGAGAGGGGCAGAGGACGGAGAGGGGAGGAAGGGGGACAGGGAAAGGCATGAGGAGGGAAGGGTAGAGAGTAGGAGAGGTGGAGGGGGAAGGGAAAATGAGAGGTGGAAAGGGGAGGCAGGTGAAAGGAGGAGAGAGGAAAGGAGGGGAAGGTCAGCGAGGCCCGTGTTAAAAAGGCTCGTGGCTCGTGCTAAACGGGAAATGAAACCCAGTTAAAGCTTTTTTCGGTGAACTAAAATCTGAATAAAAGAAACGAGGCGACGTGTAATCGGCGTGCGCGCGTGTATACTGATTCTCAAGTTATAGCTTCGTAAAGAATGTTATTACTCGGGTTTTCTGCTTGAGCGAGTCATCTAGTTTCTCATGCAGGCGATGTAATAATGCGTGCTTACTATAGTCTGGAGATGCGTGCGTTTGAATACTGCGTGCTGTAATGTGCGCCAGTACGCGTCTTACGCGACATGTCCAATTAGGGGGAGATTTCCTTTTGCTTTTTATGGCAGTTTAGCAGGTCGTGACTTTAATTTGCTATGAATGCAGGTTCGAGAGAAAAGAAAAATCCAAGATAGTATCTACTTGGCCTTTATTTCTTCTGCAGCTGTAAAAATTGAGTTAGCTGGAAGGGATGAGTTTGTGCGTTAGTTGTAGTGCAATATAGGAAGTCTATAAAATGATAATGAATACACTTTTGATGATTGAACAAAAAATACATCTACCCCATGTCCATATGTCCAATTAAAGGGGATTTCATTTTGACGTTCTTGGCAATTTTGAGGTCGTGACTTTAGTTTTCTATGAATGCAGGTTCAAGAAAAAGAAAAATCCAGGATACACACGTCGCCATTATTTTCTATGAAGTCTATCAATCGATAATAAAGACTTAAGTACATTTGGTGATTGAAAAAAACAGCGTACGCGATTTACACGTAAACTAAATAAAAATATACTTGGTTAACTACAGTAGAAAAAGTCGAAGCAATGTATTTATTAGCTCATCTGACGTAGTCCGATGCAGTTTGTAGAATCACATGATTGTCCGTGCGTGCGTCCGTGCGTGCGTCCGTCCGTCCATCCGTGCGTCAACAGTTGGGCACAAATCTTAACCGCTCGACGTACGGTCACGATATTCGGGACGTCGGTGGGGGATCGTGAAAAGGACTCGGGATGACAAATTTGGGGGTCAAGGGTCAAAGGTCAAGATGTGTAAACGGAGGGGGAATATTTTCCCCTTAACTTAATCTCATCTCTCTCTCTCTCTCCTCTTCTCTTTCTCTCTCTTCTTCTCTCTCTCTCTCTCTTCTCTCTCCTCTTCTCTTTCTCTCTCTCTCTCTCTCTCTCTCTCTCTCATTCTCTCTCTCTCTTTCTCTCTCTCTCTTCTCTTCTTCTCTCTCTCACTCGCTCTCTCTCTCTCTCTCTCTCTCTCTCTCTCTCTCTCTCTCTCTGCTCTCATCTCTCTCTCTCCCTCTCTCTCTCTCTCCGCTTCTCTCTCTCTCTCTCTCTTCTCGTCTCCTTCCTCATTCTTCCCGCTCTCTCTCTCTCTCTCTCTCCTGCTACTCATCTCTCTCTCTCTCGCCTCCGAGGGCCGCCTTTTCGAGCTTTGCGCATCCGCTGGAGGCGCCGGCACAGGGCGACTACCTGGAGCGTCGGACATGTCAACTACGTCATCTCGCCGTTCGGCTACCAGCTGAGCATTAAGAAGCCGTCGCGCCGACACGAGGGAACCTACGAGTGCGTCGCGGACGCTGACGGAACTCGACTACCCGGCGTCCGCCACCGCCCACCTCACCGTACACGGTATGTGCTGGGGGAGAGGACGGGAGGGAGAGAACGAGGTGGGGGAGGAGGGGGAGAGATCGGAGAGGGGAGGAACGACAGGGGTGGGGAGAGGGGGAGAGGGGAGGAATGAGGTGGGGGAGAGGGGGAGAGGCGGAGGAACGGGTGCGGGGGGAGAGACGGAGAGGGAAGCGAACGGGTGGGGACAGGGGGAGAGGACGGCCGAGTGGGAGAACGATGGTGGGGAGAGGACGGATGGAGTATACCGAAGGTTGGGGACAGGGGAAGAGACGGAGAAGAGAGCAACGGAGGCGGGTGGGAGAGGTGGGAGAGACGGATAGGGGAGGAACGAGGTGGGAGAGGGGGAGAGGACGTTGAGAGGGGAAAACGAGTGTGGGTGAGAGGGACGGAGAGGGAAGAACAATCGGTGGGTGAGAGGGTGGAGAGGACGGAAGAAGGGGAGGACGAGGTGGGGGAGAGGACGAACGAGGGGAGGAACGAGCGGTGGCGGGAGAGGGGGGAGAGGACGGAGAGGGAGAAACGAGTGGGGTGAAGGACGGAGAGGGAAGGAACGAGTGTGCGGAGAGAGGGGTCTAGAGGACGGAGAGGGTTAGGAACGAGCTGGTGGGGGTAAGAGGACGGAGAGGGAGGAACGAGGCGCCGGTGCGGAGCACGAGAGGGCTTTAGAAGCCGAAGAACGGGCCACGGAACGAGTGACCGTGGAGAGGACGCGACGGAGGGAAGGAACGACGGTGGAGGAGGACGAAGAAGGGAGAACGAGTGTGGGGGGAGAGGGGGGCATGATGACGGACGAGGGAGGAACGACGGTGTGGGAGAGGGGGGAGGGACGGAGAGGGGCAGTGAACGGAGGTGAGTGACGAGGACGGAAGAGGGAAGGAACGAGGTGGGGGGAGAGGACGAAGAAGACGAGGGGGAGAGGACGGAGAGGGGAGGAAACGACGGAGTGGGTCGCAGAGGGAAGGAGGACGGAGAAGGGAGGAACGAGCTTAGGCGGTGGGGAGAGGACCACACACACGCACGCACGCACAGCGGTAGTCCTGCCCCCTACTGCGCATGTAACCGAACGCACACACACGCACGCACGCACAGCGGCAGTCTGGTGCCAAGATGCACATGTAACCGCACGCACACGCACGCACGCACGCACGCACGCACGCACGCACGCACACACGCACGCACGCACGTACGCACGCACGAACGCACGCACGCACAGCGGCAGTCTGGTGCCAATATGCACATGTAACCGCACGCACACGCACGCACGCACGCACGCACGCACGCACACACGCACGCACACACACGCGCGTACCGCGGCACTCCGGCACCCTGTCGCGCGTCTAACCACACGCGCACACGCACGCAATGATATCATTCTTCGCTTGACAGGCATGGCGGGTTGTCGGTAGGATTATGTTCGTTACGTAATCGTGCATTCAGGGGAGGGGGAAGGGAGGAGGGGGGGGGGGGCATAATGCACGCATGACAAGCTCAGCGATCGTTCATCGTAGCTTGTATTTTGTTGACAGCCATGCGACACGCCCCGTCAGTTAGCACGGTCACTCAGTCACAGCAGGTTCTCATGTAGTGCCGAAATGGAAGGGGACGTAGATGGAAGTGAGTGGGTTTCGGGGAAGTTATATATAACGATATCGATGGATGAGGATTAGAGAGACAGATACAGAATTGAACACAAAAGCTATTTAAAAACAGATACATATATGCAAGGGAGAGAGAGAGAGAGAGAGCACGACACACACACACAGAGAGAGAGAGAGAGAGAGAGAGAGAGAGAGAGAGAGACAGATAGAGGGAGAGAGGTGGGAGGGAGGGAGGGAGGGAGAAAGGGAGGGAGAGAGAGAGAGTCACGATACAGAGAGACGAGTTAAACGGGAATAATGTACATGTATATATATATATATATATATATACATATATACGTGGACAGTGTGGGAGATCGGGAGCATGAGAGGCAGGAAGGTGAGAGGATGGCAGGCGGATATCTACTTGCCGCCTTCACCAGCACCACGCGCGTTTATCGATGCCAACCCCAGCCGCGCGTGCTGATATCGCGTAGCGAAGCGTTTCTCATTTTAAATTCGATATTCCCATCATTTTATTAAGCATTCACTTTGCATTAGTTCTCCCGTTTGCGTCTCAAAGTGCCGCGGCACGATCAATGCTCTCTAGTTGCCGCGCTCTTGCCGCCCGTTCGCGCATTCGCGGGTAAACCGGATGCCTGCACATCCTTCGCGCTCGAGGTATTAATTGCGACTAACGAGCGCTGCGTCTCTCTCTCTCTCTCTCTCTCGTTGTTACTCTCTCGCCATCTCTCTCTCGCTCTCTTTCTCTCTTTCGCGCGCGCTCTCTGTCTTTCGCTCACTCATTCTCTCTTTCTCTCTATCTCTCCCTCTCGCTCTGCCTCTCTCTCTCACTCATTCTCTTCTTCTTCTTTTTCTCTCTCTCTCTCGCTCACTCATTCCCGCTCTCTCTCTCTCTCTCTCTCTCTCTCTCTCTCTCTCTCTGTCTCTCCCTGTGCGTGCACGCGCGTGTGTGTATGTGCGTGCGTGTGTGCGCGTGTGTGTG